AATAATATGGAGGGTAGATTGAGAAAAGAATTAGTCTTAAACAAAATAAACCTTAAGGAGAGTGGAGTTTAAAGATGGGGTTAAGAGGATTGAAAGGATAAGAACCTGTTTTGGGGCTCTGAATGAAGAAAGAGAAGAAGGGCAGGGAAACAAAAACAGATTACAACCAACCTAGAACACTGGGACTGCCCTCACTCCTTCTCTCTTACCATCTTCTTCTTTATGAAGTGGGGGAGGGACTCTAAAACAATAGATGAATATAAAAATGAAGCAAAAAACTGATCCATCTATGACAAAAGTTTTCCAACAGATGCAACCCTTCAGACATAAAAGAACAGTTAGAAGGCAAAGATCAAGTACAAAATAGTTTACAAATATATAAAGGTCAAGAAGAAAGTATGTTAGGTACATAAAGCATTTAAGAGATCAATATTTGCTATGTTTCATAGTGTTGAATTTGCCAAGAAGTTTATAGAAACCCCTGGATAAAAATACAAGGATATAGGGCTGCTGCTACCTTTTAAGGAAAATTACTATGTGAAAGAAAGAAAGAAAGTGAGAGAGAGGTGGGGGAGGGAGAGGGAGAGGGGAGGGAGGGAGGGAGGGAGGAAGGAAGGAAGGAAGGAAGAAGGAAGGAAAGAAGAAAAGAAAGAAAGAAAATAAGAAAGAAAGATAAAGGGAAGCAAGTAGAAACTAAAGCAAGAACTAAACAAGAACAAGAAGAAAAACAGAAGCAAACAGAACATGCTAAATTGAAATCCCTGCATGAAAAGATTAAATGCTTGGTTAAATTATTGGTAATTTAGATGATCAAATTCAAAATTAACAAACAACAATGTAACATGGAAAGCATTAGGAGGAGAAACAGGGAAGTTTTGAAAAAAAGTGTTTTTGCTATCCAGATATCCTTACCTGAACTAGATTTTTTAATATATATAGTTTTGTTCATGATATCAAATGTTGCCGTTTTATTTGATTTAAACATCAAGGGAAAGGTTCTTCCAGTGAAACCTGGTTCTATAATACTGGAAATACATAAAACATAAATAAAGAGGTGGAGGGAAACAAAAAGAAGTAAAAGTACAAGAAAATAAAACAGAGGGAAATAATTAATTATCATAACTGTGAATGTGAATGGGATGAACTCACTCATAAAATGAAATGACAGCAAATGATTAGAAATTAGATCCAGTAATAGGTTGTTTAGAAGGAACACTTGAAAGAGAAAGATGCACAGACTTAAAAGGGCTAGAACAAAATCTGTAATGCTTCAGATGAAGGGGAAAAAAGTAGGGTACCAAACATCATCTCAGGTAAAGCAAAAATAAAAATAGACTTTATTAAAAGAGATAAATAAGGAAACTACATTTTGCAGAAAGATATCATAAACAATAAGTTAATATCAATACTAAATATACACTCACCAAAAGACATAGCATCTAATACCTTTAAGAAAAATTAAATGGAGAAAAATTTACAGTAAAATCATAATGGGGCACCTCATTTTTTTCTTTTCAGATCTAGGATCTAGATAATTCTAACTTCTCAAAAAACTAAACAAAAACAAAAGAAATAAAGAAACTTTATTTTATGAAAGTTAGATATCATAGACTTCTGGTGATTATTAAATGGGAAAAGAAAGGAATATAAATGTATCTCAGCTGTTAATGTTAGATTGCCAAAGTATTGGGACATACAATTTTTACAAACAAATGCAAAAAAGCAAAAATATTGAACATGTATTTTACAATCCACAAGGCAATAAAAGTTATATTTTTGAAAGACCCCTGAAGAATTGATTAAAAATTTATTGGAGACTAAATAACTTAATCCTAAATAATAAGGGGGTCAAAGAACAAATTATAGAAACAATCAATCATTTCATTAATATTGTGAGAATTAAACAACATAAAAATGGGGGATGCCCTAAAGTGTTACCTAGGGCAAATTTTATGTCTCTAAACATTTTGATTCAAAAAAGAGGGAAAGTGCAGAACAACAAATAAGATATAACTAAATAAATTGGAAAAGTAACAAATTAAAAACCTCCAATTAAAAACCAAAATAGAAATACCAAAAATCAGCAAAAGATAGAATTGATAAAAGTAGAAACTGCTTTTTAGGAAAAAATTTGAACCACTAACTTGCTTTTAAAAAAGAAAGCAAACCAAATTATCAGTGTCAAAAAAGGTGATTTTAAAATCAACAAAGAAGAAATAAAATAAATGATTAGCAATTATTTTTTTCAATTTTATGCCAATAAAACTGACAGTCTAAATTACATGGATAAATATTTATAAAAATAAAAAAATGCCAAAAATAACAGAACTAGAAATAGAGGATTGAAATAATACAATTTAAAAAAAAAGGAATTTGAACAAGTCATAAATGAACTACCAAAGGATGGGGGAAAAAGCCTCGGGATCATATAAGTTTACTGTTAAATTTATCACGTGTTTAAAAAACAATTAATTCTATCATTATATAAGCTGTTTGGGGGGAAAAGGGAAAAATGTATTCCAACAAATTCCTTCTATGATAAAAAATATGGTCTTGATACCTAAACCAAGCGAAGTCAAAACAGAGAAAGAAAACTGTAGTCCAATAGGCCTAATGAATATTGACGCAGAAATATTAAATACAATATTAGCAAGGAAACTATAGCAACATTTCACAAAGTTTAGATACTGCTAAGTTGGATTTATGCCAGTAATGCAGGACTGGTTTGGTGTTAAGAAAAAAAATTAAATATTAACATAATTAACCATATTACTAGTAATAAGAACAACAAAAATCATAAGATTATATCAACAAATGAAGAAAAGACTTTTGAAAAGACTCAGTCCCCTTTCCTGTTATTAAAACAGACTAATAACAGAATTGAATACATCTTTCTTTAATGTAAATAGTATTTATCAAGCCAGCATTATCTTCAACAGAGATAAACTAGAGGCCTTTCCAATAAGGTCAGATGTGGTTTCTCTTTCTTAAAATAAATGCAAAAAATATAAAGTCTTGGTGATCTGCCTGCCAAGACACACACAAGAACTATATAAACACAACTACAGAACACCCTTTATACGAATAAAAACAGATCTAAACAATTGGAGGAATATTAATACTTCATGGGTAAGCAAAATCGATATAACAAAAATGATGCTATCTAAATTAATTTATTTATTTACTACCATACCAATTAAATTGCCAAATTATTACTTCATATAGATATAGAAAAAAAATTTTTTTAATTCACCCTTGGGATCAAAAGATCAAGAATTTCAAGGGAATTAAAGAAAATAAATGGGAAGAAAGGGGACCTAGCACTACCAGATGTCAGACTTTACTACAAAGCAGTAACAGTTCAAACAATCTGGTACTAGTTAAGAAGGAAAGAGGTTACCATAGATGAAAGCAAATGAATACAACAGTCTAATTTCATAAACCCAAAGATTCCAGGTATTGGGGCAAAGACTTATTACTCAACCAAAAACTATTGAGGAAAATGGAAAACAGTCTGACAGAAACTAATTAGAGACCAACATCTTCTAAATTATGTCATATATGTGGATTATGAGCTAATGGCTTCTCCCAAAAATAAATGAAGAACTCTACTGTCAAATAAAATAAAGTAAAATAAACCTTATCCTTTTATTGGCAAAGACAAAATCTTAAATTCAGAATTGTTAATACAGGATTTTCAAGCTTTTCAACTTCTTTACACACAATATCTCATGTGATCTTCACAAAAACTCTGCTCAGCAGACATCGCAGGTATTATCAGCCTCCCCCACTGAACTTCAGAGAAGCGGTAACACAAATGACCAAGCTGGCGAGTAACAGAGGCAGGAATTTGACCTCAGATCTCTGTGATCCCAGTTCAGCATGCTCTCCGCTATACCATCTCCAGAGTTCTTCTGAACATCTTGCCTTAATCTCCCCCAAGTGACCAAGACTTACTCAATGACACTTGGTCAGGCCACTTAACACTTCTGATTGCCAGTCTTCATTTTGTTTGCCTCACAATTTGGGCAACACTAGCTCAAAGAATCAGTAGAATATGTAGAAATTTAATGTAGAAGGTTACTTTTGACTAAAGAAAAATAATTCTTAAAAAAAAGAAAAGAGCCTCCAGTCATCTGCCTTATGTAAATTATTGGTTTCTCCAGAGAATTTCTTTTCTAACCTTTAAAAAAAATAAAGAAATATATGTTTGGTGTCTTTATGCTACACATTCAGTATGACACTAACCATTCTTAACTATTGTTCAAAATTAGACCAAAGGGTAGCCTAATGCTACCTGTTAAATAGAAGATCTTTTTAAATATAAAAAAACTTTGAAGAAATAGTTCTTCCAAATAAATACTGGCCATTCATTTCATTTTCAAAGTTAGCAATTTTAGTCATTATTTTTGGTTTTAATTCTTAAGTGAAGTGAGATATAGGCTTTCCATCAAATGAATATATTCTCCCCCTCTCCCTTTCCCCAGTAGAATGTAAGGGCCTTGAATACAAGGCCAGCTTCTTGTTTTGTCTTAGAACCTAGCACAATGCCCACTGCTCCATAAGTGTTTTATAAATGTGGACTTCACTGAACTGAACTGAACTCAAGTGAGTTGAATTGAACTTGACTGAAAGAGAAACACTGCTTTCAAAGTCAGGGGAAGTAGCATAGACTCATCACTTCCATGAACGGTCCCTCAGCCAAGGTTCCCAAAGTAGGACACAAGAAAGGGATGATGCAGCCTCGTTTGGCAGGCATATAAATCTCACCCTGTGATAGCAGCATGGACAGGATGCTTGTCATTTGTTTTAATAACAGACAAAAATTAGAGGCTATAACAAGATGCTCAATAAATTCTACCGTCTCTGCGTGACCAAAGGAGAGTGGGGAAATTTATCACATTTCTTTCTTGTTCTCCTTAGAGATGTGTGTGTTGGTCCTGTTTCTATGGTGATGTTGATGCAATGACCATACTCCTTTGACTTTACCTCCTTTGTAGGCTCCCCGATGGCTTCACGCAGCTCATCAACCTGACCCAGCTGTACCTGAATGATGCCTTTCTGGAGTTCCTTCCAGCCAACTTTGGAAGGTAAGAACACACGACTTGGACAGATTTAATTTCACTTCACCTTGGGCAAGTATCTCACCAGCAGAGTCTGGCTCTCTTGAAAGGTGTAAGTCAGGATAAAATATGAAAAAAAAACCATTCCAATAGAGGGAGTGTTCCTAACCTGTCTTCCTTAGCTAGGAGTTAGGGCAAGTGTCACCACCATTTTTCCAAATATCTCCTTCCTTCATCAGGACTCACTCAGATGCCACCTTCTGTATGATGCCTTTCCTGATGCCCAGTTTTAATGTATCTGCACCATGATTACTTGTATTTATGCTGTGTATTCCATCAAATAAGAAGAACTAGTATTTATATAGTACATTGAGGTTCACAAAGTGCTTTACAAAAATCTCATTTGAGCCTCATAACAACCCTGGAGATAGGTGCTATTATACATAAGGAAACTGAGGCATTCACAGGTTATGTGACTTGCCCAAGATCACAAAACTAGCAAGTGTCTGAGGCTGGATTTGAATTCAGGTCTTCCTGACTTCATTCCAGTGCTCTGTCTACTATTCTACCAGGCTGAGATTGTAATATCCCTGAGGACAGGGACTCTTCCACTGTCTATCCTCTACTCAGGTGCCAAAGTTATTTTTTCCAAAGCTGGAGTCTGACCATATCACCCAAATACTCAGTAACCTTCGGGTGGCTCCCTATTACCTCTAGAATCAAATAGAAGATGCTTTTTGACCCCTCCCACTTTTCCAGTCTTCTTACGTTTTATTCCCTTACACTTACTCTAAGATCTAAGATAAGGAGACGCCCTCTCCTCCTTGCTTTGTCTCCTTGCCCCCTTACCTGTGCTTCCTGGCTTCCCTGGCTTCTTTCAAGACTTAATTCAAATCCAATCTTCTACAGGAGTCCTCTCCCAGCCCTCCCCCCACATGGCTAATGGTTTCTCTCTGAGGTCACCTTCCATTCACACTGACTAGATCTTGAATGTATGTTACAAGGTTCTTGTGAAGATCAAAGGAGATACAATTTGTAAAGCCCTTAGTACAGTATCTGGCACACAGTAAGCATGCAATAAATGCTCATTCTTCCCCCCTTACCTTGTATGTACCACAATAAAGAATCATTGTCACTCCCATTGCAATGTGAGCTGCTTGAGGGTAGGAGTCATTTATTTGTACCCACAGAGCTTAGTATCATACCTGGAACATAGTAGGAGTTTCACAAGTACTTGTTGATTGATTAGATTAAATAACAAAACTGGAATACCCTGACGACCATGGCCACAGAAGGAAGCAAGTAATGATGTACTGAATTTTATAGGAAAACTAACTAATTGCATGAGTAATTTCACGAGCACATTCTCAGTGTAGGCAAGCAGAACGAACAATTGGAAAAAAAATCTACATTTGGTTCACAAGGGCTCTGGCTTGGAATCTTGTCTCTGATGCTCGTTGGATGACTGTATGAGTCATTTGAAGGGATTGAACCTCAGTTTCCTAATTTGGGATACAAGGATTAAGTATCTCCTCTCCTTATTATAAGGAACAAGGGAAGGGGGAGAAAGGAAAAGAATAAGTATCGATTTAGCACCTAATATGTACCAGGCTAAGTCATTTACATGTGCTAAGTCATGAATACTATCTTATTTGATCTACACAACCATCCTGAGAGTTAGCTGTTATTATTATTCCCATTTTATAGTTAAGAAAACTGAGGCAGACAGTCACAGTTAAGTGACTCACCCAGGGTCACACAATTAGTAAGTGCCTGAGTTTGGATTCGAACTCAGGCCTGTCTGAATCTAGGCCCAGCACTCTATCCAGTGAACCTCCTGGCTGCCTAGCAATAGCTAACAAATGAGAATGATATTTGATTGAATAATCTGCCAACAAAGGAAAATGTGTGGCTTTTTACTACTGAAGTACCCCATGTCTCCTGAGTGCATCAGCACTGTAGTATTAAGTAACAGCCTCAGGTCTACACCTGCGATTTCACTGGTCTGGGGAGGTCCTGGGTGAGGAAGCTCCTCTGCCAGTGGAGGCCAGGCCCTTCTATGTAATGTCTCCTCTTAGGCATTATCTACAGTGGGGGGGTGGGGGGAAGGTAGGCATCAGACTCATATAGAAATGAGGGCCACTAAATCACATAGAAGGCCCCCTGGGGAGGGGTGATATACATGCTTAGAAAACTCTAGATAGATGGATGGATAGATAAATAGGTAGGTAGGTAGACAGATAGATAGATAGACAGACAATCATAGAATAGATAGATGGATGGATGGATGGATGATAGACAATGATAGAATAGATAGATATGTAGATAGATAGATAGATAGATAGATAGATAGATAGATAGATGTAGGTAATTATTTCAAGAATTAGAAAGACCATAGAATTTTATATTCAAATCAGGAAAAATTAATTAAGCACCTATATGTCAGACTGTGTTGGAAACTAGAAAAAAAAAAGAGACAAAAATGAAAGAGTCCCTGCCCTCAAGAGGCTTCTATTCCCTAGGGGGATGCGGCATGTACAAACACTACTAAATCCCAAATATTTTCAGTAAAAGGTAGTTGAGGGGGCAGGAGAAAAGCACTAGCCCTCGGGGGATGAGAAAGGCCTCCAGCCAGAGGAGGTGCCTGGGCCTCTGGGGGAGCGGCTTGAAGGGGAGGAGAGCGAGGGATTCTAACATGAACACAGGAGGTAGTCAGTACCAGATCAGTACAAGGTGGCATGCAGGGGGAGAAAGTCCTAACTGCAGAGGCAGACCTGGATGGCTTCTCGGAGAAGGTGGCACCTGAGATAAGCCTTGGAGGAAGAAGACTCAAAGGCAGGAAGGGAGAGGCACGACAGACTTCTGGGCAAACGCACAGAAATGGCGTGCCAAGTGCCAGCCTTGGATCTGAATCAATGTCATTTAGGGTTTCCCATTCGTCTTGTTTTCCAGGTCTGCCAGGCCAGGAACAGGGAACTCAGGGGGTAGAATTAAAATAAAGAGAGTAGGAAAATTTGAGAAGAGTGCCTGGACCCCAAGTGATAAAAATAACTCCCATTTCTTACACATAGACATAGAGAACTGTGTGTGTGTGTGTGTGTGTGCATATACATAGGGATAGGAATGATAAGAATACCTCCCCTATATTGAGGTGCATTTAACAGCATACACACCCATTGAAATATGCTTATGTTACACGTGAACGCTGAAATCGACCGCTCTACTATCAGAAATCACTTTCACATTCATTGCTTCATTTGATGAGCATAATAACAATTATCTTTTCTGGAGAACACGAATGTTCTCTCATAACCTGAGGACGTAGGTAATACCAACATTACCCTTATTTTAACACAAGGAAACCGTAGCCTAAAATGTAATGACTTACAGGCCCAGAGGAGCCTGGATTTAAGGTCAGGTGGTCTTTTGGACACGAGCAAGTCCAACTGCCTTGTTTCACAGATTAGAAAAGTAGGACCCAGAAAGGTTAAGTGATTTTTGCACATGGTAAGGAGCTGAGGTAAGATTTGAACCCAGGCCTTCCTGGATCCAAGTCTAGCAGCCTATCCAAGCCTATTCCAAGCAGCAGAGATGGCACTAAAATCTTGGTCTTCTGACACCAATTCTCATGTGAAATCTACTCATCACAGGGCTGGAAGTTGTCTCCATACCTGTTGTATCAGACTGAACGTCCTCCTTTTTATTATTAACCTGGTAACGATTGATTGGTAATAAAGGTAAAAGTAACCTTTATTATTAACCTAAACGTGGGCTAAAGTGGGAAACATTAAGAACCAAAGTCTTCATCTCAAAAGTTTTTCTGTTGAACCAAAAGTATTTCTGAAATATCATCACACTTTTCCGGTGCTATTCTCCTCCAAAGCTCCGTGTAGTATAGAAGGTCTTATCAGTCCTCAACTTCTATGCTGGAGGATCATAGATCCTACCAAGAGGGAAAGGCTTTGGACACGGGCCTTTGGATCTTTTGCCCAAGGACCAGCTTAGATAAATTCTGAGGGTCCATCCCCAGGTGAGCTACTTACAACAAACCCACAGCAACTCTCAAAGAGCCTCTGCTAAGTCAGGAGAATTACAACCTGAGTTGGTGCAGAGCGAGTCCCCACACTGGCAAAAATAACAGATCCTCAAAGTCACAAAGACCCACCTTTCTGTTAAATATTTTCAAAATGTGGAAAGTAAATGAGGCCATATAAATGCTTCGGGAATGACTTTTCCTAGTAGGGGGTCGAATCCGCAAGGTATGAAAAGGTTTTACCGAACAGAGGATCTAAAAACTATGATACAAAAAATGAAAGTGGATGCTAGGAAGAAAGGATTTGGGGCCTAGAAAGGAATGAATGGTGACAGAAGGACTGATGGTCAAAGGAAATCAATGCAGAGGGGTGCAGATGAAAGCAAAGACAAAAGTACAACCAAAGGGAGAAGAGTTCAGAGAGTGGGATCAGGTATTGTACCAAGCAGATGGTTAGGTGGCCCTAACTGTGACGTGGCTAGTGGAGAGATTTGTCAGGCCTGGACAGGACGGGTGCAGCGCCACACGTAATCTGAACAAAGAGGCTGAAAACCTCTTTAATCCCAAATACAAGCCAGGCAATGAATTCTTAATCAGAGGTGTCACAGAAAAAACAGTAGCTATCTGTTCTTCCCTACTCCCAATCCGGCCTCTAATTCTTTAAAGTCGGCGAAGGGCAGACCTCTTCTGCCTGCCTGGGTCCCTGAACTCAGTGTGGACACACTATTGATTCACAGAGAGAATAAGATAAATGAGTCAGTTGGTGCTATGTAGACAAAAAGGACATTTATTTGAATTTTTCATTGACTAATAATTATCCATCAATAGGCATTTGTTAAACGCCCACTAGGCACCAGGCTTTGTGCTCAGTTCAGGCAGATGCAAATAAAAAGAATGAAACAATACTTACTCTATACCTTAGGTGGGTAGCCCAGCGCATACAGCCCTAGGCCTGGAATAAGGAAAATCTTAGTTCAAACCCAGCCTCAGACCTTACTAGCTGTGTGACTCTGGGCAACTCACTTAACCTCCCTCTGCCTCAGTTTCCTCATTTGTAAAACGGAAATAATAGCAGCCCCTATCTCCCAGGGTTACTGTGAGGATCAAAGAATATCTTATTTGCAAAGTGGTTAGCACAGTGCCTGGCACACAGCAGGTGCTATAGAAATGGGATTATCATTATTACCTCTTTATATCTCCTTTGCTGAGATCTCAAATTCTGCCTTGCTTTATAGGTATTTGTGTAAGTCTTTCTTTCCCTCCTAGATGGTAAGCTACCTGAGGCCACCTGCTCTGTCTTATTATCTTCCCAGTTTTATTACTGTCTTCATTTATTACTATCTTCATTACCTCCCCATAGCACCTAGGTCCAGAGATGCTTGAGTTGTTGAATAAAGGAATGAATTCTTGTCCCAAAAACAGAAATCATGGTCACTATGTTTTCTAATACTTTGTGGGGAGGAAAGGGACAGAGCTGTCATTTAATTAGTGAGGAAGCTCCCTGTGCCAGGTTACCTAGAGCAGTATTGCATAGCTAATATTTGTCAGAGGTGAGACTTGAACCCATGTATTTTGAATCTGAAATCAGCTCTCTGTTCACTAGGTCATTTACCTCACGATATAGAAGATATCCAAGATCATTTAATAAAAACTTGAAGTCTCATTTGGCCATTCTAAGTAAAATTTAGCCATTTTAAATGAGCTTGGGATTTCTACTCTCACAGAATAGTATCCATTTGTAGATATGAAAGTGGGAAAAATAGGACTCATAAAAATGTGTGAAATGTCATAGATTCGTAGACGAAGAGATCAATAGGACCTTTGGGGTGCCTCGTCCAACCCATTCATTTTGTGACTGAAAAAACTGAGAATAAGAGAGCTTAAGTGGCCCAAGGTCCAAGAGTGTCAGAGCAGGATCTGAACCTGGATCCTCTGGCTCTGAATCCTGAGGAGCATGAAAAGAAGGCAGATTTAGAATCTGAGCAACGGGTTTGGATGCCCTACCCTGCACTTTGCCGTCTATGTGTCCTGGCCGAAGCAGTCAAATTTTAGGAGGGTCAGTTTCCTTCACAAAGGAACTTAATAGGATTCTAGGCCCCACTATGACAAGGAACTGTGTTCCTTTTTATCCTATATGTAAACGTGGTGCCAGTTTTCTTGGACATTTCTTTCTGGGCAAGAAGGGGATAAGTGTCATTCATGTTGGTTTCTGAGCCACTTTGTCATATGATTATCTTAAGAAACAACTTTGTATCTCTTTCTGTAGACTTGTCAAATTGCGGATCTTGGAATTAAGAGAAAATCACTTGAAAACTCTACCAAAGTAAGTGAGCATATATTTTGTTAAAATCTGACCTGCAATTTTCAAAGTTTTGTTTTCAGCCGCCGGCAAAACTGACAATCTCTGTTTGGAGATTGTGGATTCATTTTCTCTGTGTCATTTCAATTTCAGCATATTTGCCTCTGAAGTCAGGATTAGATTTGTTTTCCTAAAAGCTGTCTACCTAGTCACTTAGGAAATTCAGCAGAATAAATAGATAAAAATTCAGAATTTGCTTCGCTTTTCCAGCTAGGAGAAGGGGAAAGTGTATGGCTTGGTTTTAGGTTCCTCATGTAGCAACAGGCCACCATGAGTTTTTCAGCCCTAGTGCTCAATTATAATTGGGTTATAATATGCCTGAATTTTTAAAATAATAATAAAATTATCATTTTTCAGGAAATGCATCAAAATTCATCTTTTTTTAGGCCCATGTTTAAATAAGATCCCAAAGACATTCAGCATACACTTTGTATTTACAAAAATTTTTAACTATCCCATTACATATTATTTATTTAATGGAACCACAACAGTGTTTTTTTTTTTAATAGACATATTGAAATCATAGGTAATCTATACTTTATTAAAGGCTGAAATTTACCCTAGAACTTACCTTCTACATATGTAGAAGTATAATCTTCTACAATTGTCTTTAATGAATAAATAAAAGCATTTATTAAGAACCTGCTTATGTGCAAAGTGCTGTGCTAAGCACTGGAGATACAAGTAGAAAAATAAGACAATCTCTTTCTCAAGGAGCTCCCATTTTAATAGAGGAGACAAGACAGGGAAGGTTTCAGGTGCAAGTCAGATTGGAAAGGTCCCATGAACTTTAGAATACAAAAGCAAAGTAGATGGTAATATCTCTCCTAAAATGTCATTACCACTTATAAAATCATATCAGTTTTTGTTGTGTAATCGTTGGATTGGGCCAAGGATTTTGGCAGCAAGAACTTTTCATTCTGGGTCTTCAGTAGCTGTAGCTGTCACACCTGCAGGAGAAGTTGCCATATCCACAGTGGCTGCTTCCTAGAGTTATGGCTGTAGGCACTAGGCTGGAAACCTTGATATTTCCAAGGCTTTGGGGGTCAGAAACCTGGGCTGTCTCCTTTGGGGTCTGAGGGGAGATAGTGGTCTAGATGGTGGTGGTGGTATGGACCATGATGCTTCCTACGTCTCCCTCGGGGAGCTAGGCTGACTTGTCTGCTCTATGGGTGGCACTTGGGTTGGCAGTTGGTGGGAATGGTTTGCCCCTTATGAACAGGAGTGGCAATCCCAGAAGGCTAGGCTGGAAGCAGATCCAGTTGTCTAGGGGATGCTGCCACTCCTAGGATTATCTGCCTGGTGGTGTCATTTGGACAGATGTTGTTGCTGATGGGGATGAGGAAGGTGCGCTCAATTTCCACAGTTATAAGAAGGGAGAACATTCCAGGCAAGAAAAGCAAAAATAAGTCACTAATTTCTGAAATTTGAAAATAATTTGGGATGGAAAGGGTTTCTTTTTCAGAATAAAGTGAAAAATATGCATGTTATCAGGTTGATTTCTTACTTGTGATTCAAAATGTCTGATCACAAAATACTATGATTCAAAAAGTAGTACAGTTCCAATGTAGTGGTGTCCTATTCCAGAAAAGGACCAGTACTTGAGATCTTTCCTCTTAATCACCTAATCTGAGTGGTCATTTTGCTGTTACATCTTCTCTAAACAAAATAGCCCCAAAATGGGTGTTTTCTCACCCATGGGTTGATAATATATTTTCAGACATGTTTATTGTGTGATTTTGTGTCAATAACTTAGATCTGTAAATATAAAACCATGGGTTTGATACAGCAGTTAGGGGCAGCGACAGGGGTAGACCTCAGTCACACTCAAGTATCAACTTCCCGTGAATATAGTTACTGCCTGTGGTTCATTCTCTCTCACTCTTTCCTTTGAATCTTTCAAAAAAGAAAAATGTCAGAGAAATCATGCTAGCAACGGGAGAAATGATGTTGGCAATGTGAAAACATCTCTCTCCTTGACCTAGTCAGGAAGTTGAGGACAGGAAAAAACTAAAGAGAGTGGCAAAGAGTCCCCTCTCCTCGATTTTCCATTAATGTGTACTCAAGTGCAGAGGATAAAATGGAGCATGAGTGTGTCACATTGTTGCGGATCTTTGGTAGTCTTATGTGCTTATACCATTTATGTTTATACCCTAAGATGATTGACGCAACACCATTCCTAAGCTATGTTCTTTTTTCTGAAGAATGTGAGCACGGATCCATAGTGAACTGAACTTCTGTAAATACTGTGGGTAAAGCCATGCTTGGGATTTAGAATTTTATAACAATGTTCATAAAGGAAGCAGCATACTTATGGAAATGCTTGTTGAAAATATAATCTGGTATCTGTTCTCCTTGAGAGAGTTTATATTTTCAATGTAAATATGTTTTGTATTGCTAGTGGGAGGTTTTATGAAAGTTAGAGTTAAAACACTAAAGAGATAAGAAGAAAGTTAAGTTAGGAAGTAATATACTTAGCTTTGGGGCATGTAGAATGAGAATCGTAGCAAAAGATTTGGTTTTGGAATGACTCTAGAGTATGTTTTCATGAGCTCTTTTCATTATACATGATTACTTTGGGTCTTTATTTCCTGGAACAATTTTTTTAATATAGTAGGTGCTTAATAAATGTCTGTTGCATTATATTGGGTGGCTTCTTAATCACTATTCAAAGTGTCATTGACAACTGCATTTTCTAGCAATCTTCCTTCCTCTTTTATTTTCTATGGTTTTCAAGGAAAACCAAAGTAGAAATCATTGCAGAAAGCATGATTTTGTGCATAATGATGGTGTTAGAGATGGACAACATGGAATAGCAAATGGGGAGTTAGCCTTGGAGTCAGGAAGAGCTAGATTCAAGTCCTGCCTCAGACACACACTGGTCACAACATAACTCTGACCCTAACCCTGGACACTTCATGACCACTCAGTGTTTCAGGTATTTCTCTAAGAGTTGTTTGTGTCCTCTGTTGGATGGAGAAAGCTTCCATGCTAGAAATTACATACACTAATGGCATTGCAGGTCCAGAGCAATAAAACTTCAAACCTACTATTGTACTCAACAATTAAAAAAGAAAAATATTAACAGCCTATATATGCAATGAACAGTGTTAAGCACCACTCTCACTTTTAGCAAATATGAACTCCGTTACAAGTGTGAAATATGATGCCCCTTTAGCGCCCCTTTCCTACGGAGAAGTTTGGAGATGAAAAGGTCATAAAAAGTATTTTTATGTGAATAAAAAGATTTGCATTAATTGTTATCAATTAACATTTTAATACCAAAAGGGTCATAGGAAAATAACTTTATTTTAATACAAGTTGAAGAAACATAGCTTTCGGGTAGAATTTGAGAAGTTTGGGACAGAAATGGAATTATAATACAGTAATATAATATGTAAATATATAATATAAATATAAAGACATATTACCCTGTGAAGGATATTATAAAGAGGCAAAGATATTTTATTTAATTAAAACAAGAAAAATGTGAGTATAAAAAACAGTTTCCAGGACACCAAAGATGTATTAGACCACACTGTAAACTTTAGAGCTATAGATGATTATGGTAACTCAGGTCATTTGCATATGACTGCTTTATTACTAAAACTGATAAAACTAAAACATGAAAAATTTTATGCTATTTTGAAGGCTGAGGTATTATTTTAAAAGAACCATCAGTTTCATATAGAAAATTTGGAGAGTTGTGAGTTTTTAAGTGAAAGATGAGTCACTCTGTTGGCAGGTTCTCATTTAAACCACTGAACTATATAGAAAGCTAAGGGGAAGATGCTAAAAGGCTGCTGTGTTGGAACTGTGGCAGATAGAAACAGTTAGCTGACAGATTTCCACTAATTGATTCCTGATTGGTGGAACAGAGAAATAACTTCATTGATCAAGAGGGACAAATACTCCCCTCTGCACCACTTTGAGTTGGAGAGATGTGAAATGTCTTACAAGGACCTGTTGCTCTCTGCTGCCACCTGTGGCATGATATGGAAAAGCAGAAAAGGCTTCGCAGGTGCTTTGATATACAGATGAACTGGCTTACGGTCAACCTAAGTGGCAGGTGAATGAATAACCTACTGGTCTGATATGTAGAGCCCGGATATAATCAGTCTGATGAACTTTGTAGCTGTCTTTAAGAAAAGAGTACTATTATTCATCCTAAAAAAAATAACACTTTCTAAGTACTTTTTTAGAGATAATTATAAACTGAAAAAAAGTGTGAATTCTGTGTCCTGATTAGAACAGAGAAGAGGTTTTTCCCAGGTAAAGAATAGTGAGGATAAATTGTCAAGTGGTAAGCAGAGGCTCAGTTTCCTGTAGTATATATATTCCTTAATGGGCCAATAACATCAAAGCCTAAAGTCTAGATTTGGGTATTACCTTAAGCACAGGTGGCCTTTCCTCCCTTGTGTGCTTCCCTACCAGGTTCCTGTAAATATGTGTCCCCTCTTCACTGCAAATGAATTTCACTTTCCACAATGGTGGGAGAGTATGATACAAGATACAAAATATTTAATATTTTGTGATATATCTTATTAATATCTGTAGTATTATTATTTCTTTTGTTTCTGTTAACTAATGGTTGTATTTAAGTTGTAAAATAGTATTTTTTGCAAGTGAGTGATTGTGTAACTACCATTTACTCTATGCATGTCTTACCTTGGGACTAACTGGTTGTGTATTGAATGCATTGAATATGGCATTCAAGGGTGGAGAGGAGAAGTTTACTGAACCCCAAAAAGATTAGCCCAGGGATCCTGAGATAGTTTGAATGTAATAATATAATGGTAGTCCACTATTGAGATTCTATATATAGCCAAGATAAAGCCCCAGAGGGGCCCATCCCAGAGAAAGCTTGGATGTCACCATGCTAAGATAAGAGGTGTGAGGCCCCTATGTTCTAGGGTCTATAGGTGTGGTTTATCTATGACCCACTGTAATAACCCCAGTAACTA